ATATATATGTATGTATGTATTTCAGAGCCTTTTGAATGGCTTGATGTGTTCCAAGCCGGAAGACCCCATAGAGTACTTGGAAAGTTGTTTACAGAAAGTCAAGGAGCTAGGAGGCTGTGAGAAGGTGAAGTGGGACACATTCGTCAGCCAGGAGAAGAAGACATTACCGCCGCTGAACGGAGGACAGTCTCGGAGATCCTTCCTCAGAAATGGTAAGGCATGGACAGAACGGTGGACATCTCACGAGAGAGCAGGTCTCTTAAAAACACACCATGCAGTCTGGAGAGAGCACTTTTAATGATTGGATTTCTAAGTGCTCTGCAGAACTTATCTATTTCGGCTACTAATTCTAACCGTCTGTGATAAGGGGGGAAGCAACACACTGGCAATTTTCTGTAAGTTTATACAGAATCTATACTACCAAATTCATTATTTTGCAACATAATTTAAGAATTACAGCTTTATTTTTTAAAATCGCAAGTAGGCTTTCCCCAGATATACAAGAAGAATGCGGATCAAATTGGTGGTTAGTATGTAACACTCAGCATTGATTTAGTGGTCAGAAAGAGCCACTGCTCACTAATGTTGCTTCCAAGAATAGGGTACACATTAGTGTGTTTACACAAGTGCATGGATACCTTCTAAGGTTCATTTAATAAAGATTCACTAAGTGACTACTGAATACGATAGATTTGTCACTGGGATGAAAGACGCAGAGATAAATAAATCGGTTGACCATGTCAGGTGAGAAGTGGAAGCTATAGTCTTTTGGAGCAACGTCAAGCTTTCCAATCTCATTCTGAAGTGTGCGTTTTTTTTTTTTTTTTTTCAAAAACCATGGGCCAATCAGCCTTTTTGGCTGAATGAAGTTGTGAGTATAACAGTATGCAAATGCAAAATTGGTTCCAGTCAGGGGACGCTAAACTAATTCTTCTCCAGTGACCAAGACGATATCTTTTCAACATTTAAGCCATGTTCAAAAATTGCTCTACAGTGAGGTTGGAAGAAATGGCTCAACGGTTAAGACCGGTTCCTCCTCTTCCAGAGAACCTGGCTTCTGTTCCCAGTACTTATGGCTGGCAGCTCTCAATTGCCTGTACACCCCATTCCAGAGGACCTACTGCCCTCTGCTGGCCTCTTCACGCACCTGCACTCATGTGTGCACACCCCACACAGAAATGCACATAAATAAATAATAAAAACAGATTTTAAAATGCTGTTTCACAGAAATTTCTGTCCCACCAAGAGCATGAAACCAATTTCCATAAACGCAAAAAGAAAACAATGCTTAGTCTGTGTGGCCTCATTAGTCACGACCCAGTTAGATTTGATTTGAATGTGGCGTAGGGAAAAAGTCATGTGTGCTAATTTTTAAGAAGCTCAATAAGAGGAAAGTAGAAATATCATTCCCTCAGAGATATCTCCAGAGCGAGCATCATCCTTCCTTGTCCGCACGGCGGTCATTGTGCTGCTAATTATATTTTCATTAATCATTAGATAGACTTTCTATAGACTGTGGTCAAGAAAATATTACACCGTGCCGTCCTGTATCTGGAATATAAGCTAGGATTATGCAAAATATTTTCTAAATTCATTTATCTTTTGATTGCAAATTTTTGTTTTATGAAGTTATTTATCTTTTTTATTCTTTGTTTTGTTTTAAAATACTGGACTCAGGAGGACCTCATGCAAGTGAGAAAAGCATTCTACCCCTTCCTATGTGTAAACCATAATTGGTGGAATAGGTTGTTAAATTTGATAACATTGGTAATTGCCCCCAAACTTAAATATCTCTAGAAATGTAGTGATTCATGAATTTTTGCAAGCATATTGACAATGTTATATTAACATACAATTATCTTTAGAAATTAGTCTATCACATAAAATATTTTCATCTTTTATGATGAAAGCAAATAGAAAGCAAACTATTTCCCTAAACTAAAATACCATAAAGCAAAGATAGTTGATTGGTGGACAGATCTTTAAATTATTTCATTTTAAGGCAGAGCAGGTTACTATAATCAATGCCTTTCCCCACATTGTCTAAGGACTGTCTGCCACTGTCTGAAGACTTTGTTAGCAGAATCAAAGTCTAGTGAGTCATTAGGCAAATGATTTAACATGTTAGATCACTGGAGAATGCAAAGTTCCAACTGATGAGCTCCTTGGGAGGTGACGCTTTGTGTTGTGCTTAGAAAGCTATCAACTATTAAAAGCTCTACGGAAGGCCAAGTAGATGTCCATCTCCCTCCTGCCGGGATCGTTGGGTAGTGAGGGTTCTCTTTGTATCCTGGGTGCAATAACGGCGCCTGGCATGAGAAAAGAAGGAGCCGTGAGCTATATATTGACCGCGACTGATACCATCTGCCTGACTGTCTGGAGCTTGCCAGGTCTGTCTTTTGGACCACTGGGACAAGTGTGCTTTGTATTTCGACTCTTCCTTTTAGTGTTGTCGGTGAGATCTGACGCCCGCATTTCATCACCTCTGCCTTTGGACCTGCCCTTTGTACATATCATTTCTTATGACTCCAGCCCAAGTGGGTTTATCCATCCCTTCATCTGATGTAGAGTTTACCAGCAAAGACTTGAGCCATAGCCTTTCTGCCTGGTGGGTATGTGGCTGTCATATCTAAGCACATAGGCTCTAGACTTCCACTAGCACTAAGGAGACAGCTACAGCTTTGTCTCCTACTAAAACAGCCTCCACATGCAGACACATCTGGAGTGTAGACATAAATTTAAATCTTCATATGTGCATATTTTCATTGTAGGTCAACGAACTTAAAGATATCCATCGCAGTCACTGTTTTACTGCTATGAAGGGACACCACAACCAAGGCAACTCTTATAGAATGAAGCATTTAATCATTTATTTGGGGGCTGGCTTACAGTTTAGGGGATTAGTCCATTATTATCATGACATGGAGCATGGAAGCAGACCGGCAAGCATGGTGCTGAAGAAGTAGCTGAGAGCTTTAGATCCTGGTCCCCAGGCACAAACAGGGAGAGAAAGAGGCACTGGGTGTGATGTGGGCTTTTGAAACATCAAAATCCAAGCCCAGTGACTCTCCTCCTCCAACACGGCCACACCTAATCCTTCCCAAACAGTTCATCAGCTGGGTACTAAGCATGCAAAGACAAGCCCATGGGGGTGTTCTTTTCCAAAGCACCACAGCACTAAAGGTTGAGCCCGTAGAATGCAATGACATGGAAAGGTACTATGAGTTAGACATGCGATCTTTGCATCACTGAACATTCTACTGCGTGTCTCTATTTGCAGAGTGAACAGAGTATACTCCGCACAGGAACTGAGTCCCTGGGCACCCGGGTGAGGTGAAGTCCTCAAATCCCAGAATATCTAGGCAGAGGCTGTGAAATACAATGAAGCTAAGCCTGAGGAAGTTATCCTTTCTCAGTGCAGGTGGTCCAAGCCAGGCCACCATCTGTGTCAATAAAGTTTTCCTAAAACACTGGCCCCCTCATTCACTTAGGAGTGGTCTAGGACCAAACCCATGCTACCTTGGCTGTCAAGTATGAGATGGTGTGGGTCTAGAAATCCAGAATGTCGGCTCTCTGCCCCTTTAATAAAAAAAGTTTGCTGGCCATTAAGGAAGCCTCCCTTCTTCCAGGGATTGGCTAATTTACACAACTTTTTGTACTAATTGGTCAACTGTGAAAAGTGGTTTGCTCAGCCCTTTTTCCCCTCTTCAAATTGATCTTACTCTTTTGCAGTAATGCCTGAAAATTCCAACTTCCCTTATCGACGTTATGACCGGCTCCCTCCCATCCACCAGTTTTCCATAGAGAGCGACACGGACCTGTCTGAGACGGCAGAGCTGATAGAGGAGTATGAGGTCTTTGACCCAACGAGGCCTCGACCCAAGATCATTCTCGTCATAGGTGCGACAGTGAGCGTCAAACTCTCCACTGCTGCTGGCTTGGTTTGCCTGCTTCCATTTCAGAGATAACATAGCTACCAATGTTGAGTTGGGTAGTAACAACAACCAGAAACAGAAGGTCAAGGACTACTAACGAAAATATTTAGAGTAATTTTCAATAAAGTAGAATTATAATTCTATTTAACACCTAGTTCACATTCTTAGATTTCCACTGTAATATTACAGTAATTCTCTGTAATGAACTGAAAATAATCCCTTCAAGATTTATGAGCTGGTGGGTTTCTTCAATTAATCATTAATGTAGATACTCAATTAGATACTTGTTTAAAATGGGTGTTGATGGGGTTTCTGTCCTACCTGGTTCCCGCAGTCGTTAAGTCCCAGAGAAATCACACAGAGGTGTTAGTTATAAACTGATTGGCCCATTAGCTCAGGCTTCTTATTAACTCTTATAACTTATATTAGCCCATTATTCTTGTCTGTGTTAGCCACATGGCTCGGAACCTTATTCAGCAAGGCAGTCACATCTTGCTTCTTCTGTGGCTGGGTCAGGACTGCAGAGGAATGGGCTTCCTTCTCCTTAGAATTTTCCTGTTCTCATTGACCCACCTCTACTTCCTGTCTGGTTGTCCCGCTTATACTTCCTGCTTGGCTACTGGCCAATCAGCATTTATTTAAAATATAATTGGCAGAATACAGACCATTGTCCCATACCAAATGGAGTTTTTTTTCTCTTTAATTGACAAATCAAACGTTTATTCCCTAGTAACCACAGAAGGAAAAGAAATAATAACATGTTGGAAGTATTCCTATTCGTGCAAGCACGGTACCTATAGTAAAGTCAGTTTCCGTCTTATTGAAAAGCAGATGGAGGAGAAGGGTGCTCTATGCCACCAGAAACTTCTGATTATTATGCAAAAAGAAAAGATAAAATCACTGTGAAGCTTGTGTTGACTACAAAGATATAAGCCCAATTTCACTTCATAAGAAATAGACACTGAACATGTTTTAAGTCATGGCCGTGGAGGGAGCATCTCTTTGCACAAGGTCATGGGTTTGCCTGTTTTGAATGCCAGGTGGCCCAGGAAGCGGAAAGGGGACTCAGAGTTTGAAGATCGCCGAGCGGTACGGATTCCAGTACATTTCAGTGGGAGAATTACTGAGGAAGAAAATCCACAGCGCCAGCAGCAACAGAAAATGGAGTCTGATCGCCAAGATAATCACCAACGGGGAGCTGGCCCCACAGGTATCACTGCATGGGTGTCTTTCCTTGTGCATGAAAATAGTCGTCCCTGCCTGGAGTACACTGTCGGTTCTCACCTTTGTGCTATAGGAGACAACAATCACAGAGATAAAACAGAAACTGATGCAGATACCCGACGAAGAAGGCATTGTCATTGATGGCTTCCCAAGAGATGTTGCCCAGGCCCTGTCCTTTGAGGACCAGGTAAGAATATCTTCTGGTATTTATTCATCTCTCTCTTCTCTCTTGTGTGTGCTCCTTTCTCTGTCATCGATCTCTCCATCTCCGTGTGTGTTCATGCTCTTGCACACACATGTTTCTGGGCATAGAACCAAGGACCCTGCATATGGTAGCAAACATTCTGCCACCGAGTGATAGCCTAGCCTTATTTTATTAATTTATTTAAAGATGAATTTAATGTCCTACTTTTTACTTAAAGTTTTGAGATTAAGCAATAAAGACAAACAATGACTTCTTGGCATTGTTTCTGAATTCTGATCAGAAACAGCCAAACCCATCAATGTGTGTGTTGGCAAAGGCGTTTTCTTTGGCAAATGTTTAAAAATTGAAGGCGGTATCTGCCAAGAAGAAAGATGAGACCTGATAATAGAATTTACTAATTTTATTTAAAAGTGTAGATCTTTATAAACTTTATTTTAAAATATTTTTCTAAGATGCCTTTTTATGTTCCATTTCTTTAAAATAAGACTCCAGTTGGTAATGTCGAGAGATGGGCCTGGGGTCACCCTACACCACCGTGCCTGCACGCTGAGGAGGTCAGAAATGCTGGGCTTCCTTGTTGACATGGCGTCCAGCTGCCAAAATGTATCCAAATGGGGTAAATTATGCCTTTATGCCTTCTTAGCATCTACTGTATCCATCCTAAACAAACACAAAAACTGAAATATAGTGCCTATTAAATCTTTAAAAAGATCCATAACCCAGAGTAGTATCTTCGCAGCTCAGAATATGCAGTGCACTTAGACAGAGTGAAGGGAAGAGGGACATACAAAGATGGCTTCCTCCCATACAGGGGAGCCGGGAACAGCTCTCCTAGAAAATCCAGTCTCCATCCTCGTTCACAGAATCCCAGCCAGCAGATCCTTCGGAATGGTCTGCAGTTGCTTATGCTTACTGTTCTCCAACACACTTCTGAGACTGGAGAAAATCAGGTGTAATTTCTTCATAAGCTTACATCTCTGCATCCTGGAGTTTCTCGGCCACTTTGGCTGTGCAGCGGTACTAGAAGTTGGTGCTGCAGCTGATGCTGCAGGGGTTCAGTGGGTGCAGAGGTGAAAGGCTTATATAAAAGGTCAGAGTTCAGTGGGTGCAGAGGTGAAAGACTTATATAAAAGGTCAGAGTTGGTCCCATCCTGCTCCCCTCACACTGTGCAGATGGAAGCTCCTGCAGGATCTTTTTCTCTTTTTCCACTTTTGACATCAAATGTGCAGGTATTTCCATCACCAACTGGGCATCCAGGAATTTAATTCTACTTTGACATTAAGCATAGTCCCTTCCTGTGTGGTTGAAATGATAGCTATCATCACATACAAGTTCCAGCCAGTTTGTGAGGAAGGAGGCGTGAAGGTCTGAAGTCCCAGGTCAAAAATGACACCCAGCACTACACTGCTCTCACTGGTGTAGATGACACCCAGCACTGCACTCACTGGTGTAGATGACACCCAGCACCGTGCTCACTGGTGTAGGTGACACCCAGCACCGCGCTCACTGGTGTAGGTGACACCCAGCACTGCACTCACTGGTGTAGATGACACGCAGCACTGCTCTCACTGGTGTAGATGACACCCAGCACCGTGCTCACTGGTGTAGGTGACACCCAGCACCGTGCTCACTGGTGTAGGTGACACCCAGCACTGCACTCACTGGTGTAGTTGACACCCAGCACTGCACTGCACTCACTGGTGTAGGTGACACCCAGCACTACGCTCACTGGTGTTGTCGAGAATTTGGCAGTGCTGTTGTCTTGGAGATGAAATACTGTCCACCTGGGCAGATAGGTGTGGGCAACCTCTTCATGGCTGTGGAAACTTTGCAGCCTATACCTATTTGCCTCTTTGGCCCAGCAGAGAGGTTCCACCTCCTTCCTCCCCCATGCGGCACACAATCACTCAGTGTGTCATTCTGAAGCCTGGCATGTGATGGTGTCACCCGAAAGCTCAGCACCTCGGGTGCATGTAGAATTCTCTTCACTTGATCCAGCTCTGACTCCTCACACTTGGCTAACCACAACTGAAAGTCAAGTTCTCTTCCCTCCCCGCCACTAAAACACTGGAGGCACAAGACTGGGTTAGGTAAAATCAATCCTTCTCTAGCAGGGGAGGAGTCTGGAGATGCGTGCTGAAATCACAGAATCAACTGTGTCTGGTAAGAACCATGTCAAGTGGGTTGCAGGGCTTTTTGCTCAGCCCGGAGGTGTTTCGAGGCCATGCATTCCCATCTGCTAAGCCTGTGGAAGTGGAATCACTGTCCTCTGCATGGGTTCTCTGAGTTTTTACCTGGTCCTTACCAAAGAGGGTGGGAACAGGCTTGCGTTGGCCTTGGGAAGCCAGTTTTCCCATTGGAATATGTCTCTACTGATGTGTAGACATGAGTCTGCTCAGGCTCTCTCTCACCGGTGATTTTGCTTGTTATCTATTTCCAATACTGTGGTTTCTATGAAAGAAATCTAAATTATATCCTGATCAGGGAAAGACATTCCCATCTTGCTGTTGTTTGAATATGGGTAACATCGTCCACAGGTCTACATAACTGTCTAAACCTCAGGATGGAGGTATTGGGAGGTTCTGCAAAACTGTGAGAGGTGGGACTTTGTGGGATATGCTCAAGTCTTTGGAGGCAAGGTCCTATAAGGTCCCTCCTGTACTCTCTCTTCTGATTGTGGTGTGATACTCTTTCTGACTTGTGCTCCCATAAGGATAGGTCACCCTGCCACAGACCTAAAAGAGTGGGGACACTCAATCTAAGGCTCTAACTTCCAGAACTGGGAGCCAGATTATACCTTTCCACTTGATACTTAGCCTGTCTGTCAGGCAATCCCTTATAGTGATGCAAAGCAGATGGATGTACTTCACTTTCTTTCCAAATTGGCTATTTAATTTCAAATACAGATGTTTTGGGGATAATAGATACTAGAACTCATGCCTTTCTACCCATGAGTCCTAGTATCATTTCTGTTGTTAGTGTGGTAAAATACCCCAACTCAAAGCAACTTAGGAGAGAAAGTCTACTCAGCTTGTAGTTCCAAGTCAGAGTCCATTGTTTTGAAGACGTCAAGGCAGAAACTCAGGTAGTTATACCACATCTATGTGAAAAGAGAGAAGAACACATGTGTGCCTACTTGATCAGCTAGGTTTATTTGGCTGTTTTCACTTTCATGCAGTCCAAAGCTGAGCCCGTGAAATTGTGTTGCCCATATTCAGGCTGGATGCTCCCCTATCAATTAAGCCAGTGAGGATAAACCCTTCACAAGCACACTCACGGAGCAACCTGATCTAAGCAGTCTCTAATTGAGAGCATCTTCCCAGGTGATTCTAGACTGTGCCGGGCTGACAAAACTGACTGACACACGTAACCATGTTGCTGTGTGTAATAGGTCTGCTTTTGTGTTGTTAAAGGAAAATTTCTAGTGTTCCATATAAAAACCTTGTGCTGTTTTTGTTAGCTGTGTTCCTTTGCAGCTTACAGCATTATGGCCCAATTGCCTGTTTTGTAACCTATTCCTCTAAGTGTTTGGCTGACCTTGATGGAATTACTGCACGTTTGTGGTTTGCCTCCTGACACGGGCTTCTCTTCTGTGCTCTTTGAGGCAGAGCGGATGAATTCACTCTGAAGGCTTACTTCCTTCTCCCTCTTTTGGGGCCCTCACCCCTGCCTCATCGACTCATTATGCTCCTTTACTACAGAGGGTTCTATCAGACATAGGATGGGTTGGAGTAGAAAATAAATACTAGAGTTTTGGATATCACACAAAGGAAGAATTCTAATAACTGCAGAGGAAGTCATTTTGAATCATTCCCCAGGCCTCCCTGTGAACCAGTGGGGCTGGTTCTGGAGTCAGTGGAGCTGGTGAGTGCTGACCCTGCTAATCTCAGTGTTCTCCTTCAGAGGCACCACCTCAGGAGGGCAACTGAGTCAGTCCTCTAGTTCCCTGCAGAGTTGTGGCTCTAGGGAAGCACATGGCCAGAGGGTGTGATGATTTCTACTGCACCATAGCAAGATCAAAAACAACAAGGACAGCAACAAAAACCTTTGATTTATGACAGGGAAGACCAGTTCTTCCCTCCTGTCGGAGGATGTGATGGCAAAGACTCTATTCCTTCTGCAGTCTATTTTTCAAACTGACTGATGAAACCCTCAGAGGCCACCTTCAGATGTCAAGGCTGCCGACAACAGCTCTGCTTTAGTTTGCCTTCTGAGTTTGTCCTTAAACCTCCGTTTGAAGGCTTTTGTGCCTCTGAGAATGGCTGGAAACCACTCCAGAGCTCGGGCAGCTGGAGTCCAGGGACGCTCAACACTACAGGGCAGGAAAATTTGGAAGTCCCCTAATTAGCCCATCCTGCCTCCATCCTCCTCGTCTCCCTGCCTGGAGAATAATTGATTAGTTGAAGTTAACCCAGGGGTGAGAACAACCCAGTTCCAAAATGAGCCGTGGAAAAGCTACTCCTAAGAGTGCAGGTGCTAAGCTCTGGGCACATGTGATACCTGATACGGTGATGACATAGGCACCGGACTGCTGAGCACCGGCAGCCTGGCCCTTCAGAACTGTGGAACTGCAGACTCGCTGCCCTGACACTATAGCCCTCCTTCACCGAGGCCCTGCAGCAGTCTGGTTCACCCACACAGCCATAAATTTAAGGCACTCTCAAGCATCTTTAGAAAGCACAACACAACAAAACCCTCATTCTGTATACTGCCCATGTTGGGATGTTTGGTGGATTGGTGAAGGAGTTCACCCATTATACCAGTGTAGAAAAAGTTTATTTAGTACATTGCAGGGAACAAAAGACCTGAGGTATTAGTGCAAGAACCACCAATAGACAACAGTGCGCTGTGAGGACCTCCATTGTGGAGGACTCCGCATTCCTTTAGGTTAAGACTTTGTATTCAAAACCCCAGCATGCTCCCCCACCACCACCATGTAAATGAGGAGACTGCAGATTGATCAGTCCTGGGCAATGAGCAT